CAGGTGAAATCCAGGCAGTAGATGTGAGAGCTTTCTGCCCCAAACCTATTCAGAGACAGTGTTACCTGGGGAATCTGACCATTATGGTTGAGGTGTAGCCAATTCTCCAGAAAATCATGAATATATCAAGTCTGAGTTTTGTTCTTAATACATCTTAGAGTCACTGTGTAATATGGTGAAAGATTAGGGAAATCTAACTGATGTCACCCAGTGCCAAGTGGGAAACAGAAGTTAACAACCATCTAGTTGCAATAAGTAATATGTTTAAGAGCACAGTAAGATAGCAATGAAGACAATAAGTAAGACAGCAATCAAGAGGGGAAAAGATGCAAATTGGATCATAAGATAGTTCTAGTGTACAAGGAAAAGGATATCAAGCTTTAATCATGATTTATTGACATGATTACACTATTTTTAACAATAATAACTTAATTCAAAGAGTACATTCTCAGAATTAATTGATTTACCTTATTTACCCTGAGAAAGAATATCTGATGCCAGTGAATTTTATAGGGTAAATCCATCTGTTATTTTAAAATATATTCCAGATCATTGTTGATAAGAAGTCCCTCCTTTAGGTTTCTTAAGCTGACTTATTTTTTTTCCCTGATAACTCTCAGGCACCCCTGGAGCATCATCTGGAGTAACCCCTGAAGCTCAAAGTGGCAGCACACCTGGAGAGGCAGAGACTGCATCCACTGGTTCAGGTGAGGTCCACTCTTCTGGTTGTGATGCATATGCATTTATGATCCATGCCCTCCTTTTGTAAAATCAGGCCCTAACTTGGATTTCATTGGTGGAGCAAGAAAATTTATGAGGATCATTTTCTTCATTTTCTAAATCTGGAGACTCTCAATGACTCATAGGGTTTGCAGGAATAATATGTATTCTCCAAACCCCATATACTGGTCTTGGCTCTAAAAACCATAGGAGTTTCTGAAGGCCCCACTAGTACTAGCCAAGGGCACTCAGCTAGAATAGTCACAACTTATGCTAGCAGCAAATCAGGTTGGTAGAGGGTATAGTCCAACCTTCATCAAGGACAGGCAGAGTGCTACCAGATATACATTTAAGACCCTGTAGGGGATGTACAAGTGACAGAGCTTCTGAGCAGGTGAAACAAAGATATAAGGAAAATCTGATATTTATACAACCAATGATGTTTTGCCTCAGCAATCTCTCCTTTGAGTAGAGCCTTAGAATTGACAGGAATAATTCTTAATTGGGCAATTTATCTATGACTTTGGGAAATATTTTACAGTTAGTGTTTGCAGTTATATAAAACATTAATGACCTTGTTCTATGGCCCATTAAATTGTCTGACTTATGCTCAAGTGTATTTTGTAATATAGTCAACCTTTACACCATTATATGTCATTATTCCCATGAGATAAGAAAATAATAAAAATTTCCAAGCTGGAAATTCTGGTTTAGAACCTGTACTGAAAAGCCTCATTTTGCATTGGCTAGCCCCTCGGTTCTATAACCTCTGCATAAGAGCTCATCCAACAAAAACCCAAGAGAATAAGCTTGTGCTTGTGCATTATTCATTAAATTCAGTCAGTGTTAGGACCAGGAATACAATATCATTGATAATATTAAATACAGATGATTTACACTGGAAATAAGCATGACTAAAAATTTACAACTGTCCCAGATACCATCAGTTACAAATTTTAAAGACCTCTGAAGTGTCCTCTTGCATTCAGCTGTTAAACCTTTTCCCCCAGTCCCTGCATTCCTCTGCCTTGCTTATCTTCCTCCTCTAACACCACGATGCTCACAATGTGGTTCCTGGACCAGCAGCATCGAAATCCTGTGAGATCTTGTTAGAAGGGCACATTTCTGGGTCTACCTGACTGTCATCAGCAAGTGCTGGGGTGGAGCCCAGCAGACTATGTTAGTAAGCTTTTTAGGGAATTAATTCTCAAGGTGGAAAAGCACTTCTCCACAATTCCCACTCTTTTTCAACCACCTTCTCAGTTTACATTTCAACAATGTCATGTCAGAATGACTTCCCCAAAGCTCAACTCTTATCCTGTGTCTGTACTATTTAAAGTCATTAAATACTGATGATTGTTTTTTTTTAATTTAAATTTTTTAATTTTGGACGTCTTTTTGAGTTATATATGACAATATAAGTACTTTGGATTAGACAAAGGGGAATAAAGAGAAGGAAGGGGGATTAGAAATAGGAAAGCTAATAGAAAGAATCAGATGTTACTTCTTACATGCATGTATGAATACATAACCAATGTAATTCCACAACAATCAGAAGAATGGGAAGTTATACTCCATATATGTATAATATGTCAAAATACATTCTACTGTCATATGTAACTAAGAACAAATAAAAAGAATTTACTTTGACATAATTATAAAAGCATGGAATATAATTTGTTCTAATTCAGTCTCCAGTGCTTCCCCTTACTTTCCCTTCCTACCATCCCTGCCCTGTTCCCTTCACTTTACTCTACTGATCTTTCTCCTATTTACTTATTTTTTAAATTAGTGTCTTAGATCAAAACTTTATATAGCATTATGAGACATTTGTTTCAGGTGTGCGTAGGACTTCTTCTGAATTTATTAATGAATCTATTGCATGATTGTGTTTCTTCTACAGTATTTTTGATAAGCTATTTTTATTTAAAATGCATGACACATATTGTTTTGAATAAGCTGCTGTTTACATTGAAATTACTAGGCTAAATCATATAGTTTACACATAGCAGGAACATAAAGAAACTTGGTAATTCCCATTGGGTCCGTAAACTTATTGAAATTTAAAGTGTTGACCATTTTGTTTATATTCAGAAAATCTGACTCAAAATAACTTGGGTAATAAGGACATCTCATTCAGTGATCTTCTTTTGCTATCAAAAAGTAAATAAGGTGTTTGAAATAGAGTTTGGTGCCCAGATGTGTGGCTCCCAGATTGTTTATTAATGGTCTGTGATGTGATAAGAAGTGAAACAAGAGAGTAAGCATTTGGAACATAGTGGGGTTTTTTTGTTTGTGAGAGAGAGAGAGAGAATTTTTTAATATTTTTCAGTTTTCGGTGGACACAACATCTTTATTTTATGTGTTGCTGAGGATTGAACCCAGCGCCCCGTGCGTGCCAGGCGAGCGCATTACCACTTGAGCCACATCCCCAACCTCAAGATATTTTTAAAACAGAGAATAGCTGACTTAGTCCACTTAACCACAGATCATAACATATATTTACCATTTCCTTTGAAAGGTACTACTGGACCATCAGTGGATAAAACAACCAGAGCCCCCAGCAGTGAAGTGACATCACCTGAAGGGCACTCAGGTGAGTATAGGGTGATGTTCAGGGGTCCCAGCTTCTGTCAGAGGGTGAGCCATTTATCAGAACTGCTCTTATTTTAAAGCAGAGTGGTTGATACAAATGTATGAAGACCTGCTGTGGCACAAGGTGAAGAAAGATGTATTTGTAGAGCAATCATCTAATGACTAAACCAAGATCTTTAAGAAAATAATATTAGAACAAATGTTAGTGAAGTCTGGGCAGAAAGTCATGAATTCCTCTATTCTATTCCCTATAGCAGGAGTGATTGGACAGTTAGATTACTCATTGATAATAAAGTCCAGGTAGACTTTAGGTGAGAAGTTCCTTTGATTTTTCTCAGGCTCTACTGGAACTTCAGTTCCCATCACCTCCACAGCTGGAAGTGCAGGCACCACAGCCCAACCGAGCCCTAGCTTCACCAGTCCTGGGGACACAGCAGGTAAGCCCAGTTCAGAGCCAAGAATACTGCTCTAGCCGAGCAGTATTCTTTCAGGCAATGCTACTTATTCCTTGTATGTAATTAAAATGTCAAATCTTTAGCCTTCTTACAAGTTACTTTCTTAATGAATCTCGTTATAATTATATGCTCCCACTGCCTTCATAATTGGTAGTATACATGCATGGTTTTTACTGGCTCCCCTTTTCTTTTTTTAACCTTTATCAGAGACAGCTGGAGTGTCACCAGGTGGGACTACCACTAACAATGGGAATACAAGTGAGGCAGTCTTCCAAGATGGTAAGGCAAAGCAAGGAGTCAAAGTTTCTCTCTTCCTCAGAATATTTCCACAAGCAATCTTCTGTTTCAGCTCTGCAGTACATTTACCCTGAGAGAATAGAATGTCAATTATCTAAGCCAACTGGATGAGTTTGAAAAAAAATTCAAGATAAATAATATTTTAATTAATATATCAATCTGGCACACTAACATTTCTAAATCATGTTCAAATATGTATGTTGTAATTTAGTCAACATTAATACTGTGGCGATTATGTATCATTCCCACAAGATGAGGAATTTATATTAAAGTCTCCACACTGGAAAAAGCAGGAGTAGAACTCCAACTCCTAAACCTCACGGGCAATCTCTGGCTTTTGTAGTAGTGATGGGTGTATAAGAACTCATGTCCAACAAAAGTCAAGGTGATTATGCTTGTCCTTACACATGATTGACTACATTTTTTTCTATTTTATTTTTAAAAACTTACTGGTTAATATTATACAGTGTTGCATTTTATTGTGGCATAGTCTTACATGCATATAAACTAATTTGGTCAGTTTCCCTTTCTTTCTTCTTCTTGTCTCCTTCCTCTACACTTGTACTTTCATGACATCCTTTTTTTTTTCTTTCCCCTGCTGTAGCTTGTACATATAAGAGAAAACATATGAACTCATCTTTTTGAGTCTAGATTATTTTGCTTAACATGATGTTCTCCAAATGCATCCATCATTGACTAAATTTTAACTATCATTATTAGTTTATGAAAAAAATATTATTGACATTCTTAAGCATAGATAATTGGATTGAAAACAAACATACCTTAGTTCAAATCTGCCACTTCAGCAAACATTAATTTTAATGACCTCTGAACTGTCTTCTCAAACTCATCTCCTTTGGTTTGGCTTTGGTTCAAGTGTTTTCATTTTCTACCCATTCTCTATAGTCCTCTTCTTAGCTCACTAATATTGTTACAGTCATGCTCAAAGTGTGGTTCCTGGTCCTGCAGCATCTGCATTTCCTGGGAACTTGTTAGAACTACACATTTTTAGACCCACCTTCCTAGTGGTGGAAGTTGGTGGAGTGAAGCCCAGCAGTTAGTGTGCTAACAAAATTTTGAGGCAATTAGTACAGAAGTGATTCTCTACTTTAATGAGCACTATTTCTTCTCTTTCCCAACTTCCCTCCATTATACTTTAGTTAATACCATGCCAGAACAACAACAATAACAACAAACACAAAAACCCCATAACAGTCATCCTGTCTCTACTTAAAAGTTTTCTGTAGTTTGATTGCTTAATATAGGTAGAGATTCCTTTATATACCATTAAAGCCATTTCTTTAATATAAGCATCAACTTCTCTTCATACATTTATTAAGTATTCCATGGACTGATTGATTTTTTTTTTAAATTCTGGGGATTGAATGCTCATGTTATGTTTGTGCTAATATGTGCTCATGTTAAGCACATATCTACCACTGAGATACACCTTCAAACCTATCAATTTTCTAAATTTAACATTTACAACATATTTTTTGGAATAAGATTGTTTACATTAAAATTACCATATGGAAAGATAAAATCTACATGAAGCAGCAAAATTAAGAAACTGCTTAATTTTAATTAGACCATTAAACTGATACAAATGTTAGGGTGATAATCTAGTATGAATTGATTACCAAATCAGAAGTACTTGGGAGATAAGTAAATCAGCTGTCTTTTGATTTGCAATCATCAAAGTGAAATAGAATAGCCAGGCATGGTGGCACATGCTTGTAATCCCAGCCTCAGGAGGCTGAGGAAGGAGGATTACAAGTTAGTCTCAGCATTTTAGCGAGGTCTTCAGCAATTTAGTAAGCCCTTGTCTCAAAATAAGAGACTTAAGATGTTGCTCAGTGGCAAAGTGCTGCTGGTTCAATCCTTGGTACCCTTTGTGAAAGAAGTGAAATAGAGATCAAGCATTTATAAACAACAATTTGGCACAGTGATCTTATGTCCATTGAATAAAGGTTTGTGTTTTATATGGTCGTATTTTTGAAAATTTTATAACTCAATTTAATGGCATTTTTCAAAGCATGTACTAGGACAGACTGGAAATTTTACAAATCCATTTTTGTCACAGGTTATTTGAGAAGCAGAGAATATATTCTGGCACTAGACTGAGTTTGGCGCCAGGATTGCTGTCAACCATTGCATGGAGCTGGAGAAATCATTAAACCTTGTCTGATAAATGGGAAGAATAATATTACCCATCTCAGAGGGCTTTTGTAAAGTTAAATAAGTTGATTTTTACAGGGCAATTTGAAAAAAAAAAAAAGGTTAATTTTTTATCAGTTGGAACAGGAGGCCCTACTGCACCAACACCTAGCAAAGAGGAGGGCAGCACATCCAGAGAACCCAACACTGGAGCAACGAGCCCAGGAAGTTCAGGTAAGTCAGGATGTGCACTGAGTCCTGATTATTGTGTACAAATATCAAAACAGTAGGCTTAGAAAATGCACAAGATTGAAATTTTGTCTTGATTGGAAGCAATCTCCTCCTTCAGAGGAACTAGCATATGTTGCAAGCACTGCTACTGTGTTTGTCAGGTACAATAGGACTGTCCCTGGGAGCAACCTCAGAAGCAGTCAGAGGCAGCACACCTGGACCAACAGGCACAGGGGCCACCAGTGCTGGAAGCCCCGCAGGTAAGACAGAGCCTCCTTACAGGTTGTGCTAGGGTCCAATACCAACTTCAGCAGCTTCAGGGCATAATAATGAGTGAGATTAAGGAATGGTAATACAATGTTGTAGGACCTAATGACATGAATTAAACCACCAAATGTCCTGAAGGAATGTTTTCTTCATAACTATCCATATGTCTGAAGCACCATTCTTCTTTTTAGCAACGAGAGGAGGAACTGATGCAGCCACAACTGTCTCTGCTGGTGAAAACACATCTGGAAGGACAGGTACAAGCGTAAGCAAGTGAAATCCAGGCAGTAGATATGAGAGCTGTTTGCTAATCAGACAGGGTTTTCTGGGGAAACTAAACCTTGTTATGTGATGCCAAATATTCAAAGAATCAGTAATATGCCAAACAAACATTTGTATATACCCATTATTTTCTTTCCTGCTCTGTAGAATTCAGGACAAGAACAAGGCAATATACATTTTCACCCTCAATTTCATTTTGAAAAAAGAGAAATTAATATTTTAAAAAATTAATAAACAATCATCAAGACAAAGTAGGGGAAATATGTGAATTGGATCATAAGGGTATGGTACATGATTATTGCATTTTATTTAAAAAATGGCATCAGTATACATAGTTTCCTGATTTAACATGTCAGTGAAGTTTAAAGCATATGTACATCCACTTTTTTTTTTTTTAAAGTAAGATGACAAATGGAAGTCAGGACATTTTCAAAAGAACATTCTGGCTTTATATTTTCTTAGTCTGATAGCTTTTTATCCCTGATAAATATCAGGTATAGCTAGGGTATCATCTGAAGCAACCCCTGACAGTATCCCTGGAGAAATGGGCACTGGAGCCCGTTTAAACCAGAACATGCTGGTTTAAAATATCAGACTCAAAATGCAATTAGAAGCCAGGCCTGATGGTACACACCTGTAATCCCAGCAGCTCAGGAAGCTGAGGCAGGTTCAAAGCCAGCCTTAGTTATTTAGGGAGGCTATAAGCAACCTAGTGAGACCCTGTCTCCAAATAAAAAATAAAAAGGGCTAGGGATGTGACTCAGTGGTTGAGTGCCCTTGGATTCCATTCCTGATACCAAAAAGAAGAAAAAAAAATTATATTGTTGGCCTAAGGAAAGTTGGAAGGATAGTGTCCTTCACTTTTTTTGTTTGGAAATCTCAAGAGTAATAGGCATGTTCAATATACCTTCCAAACCTATTCTTGTTATTAGGGACAACAAGAGTATCTACAGGCTCCATTACTTCTGGCCATGGGACCTCAGTTGGACCAGTCACAACAACTGCTAGCAGCAAATCAGGTAAAGTAGAGGGAGGAATCCATGAGTGTGAGAGGACAAATGGAATATTTTGTCTATCCTCTTTCCCTTTATTTGGAACATGGTAAAGAAATGTTGGACTAGTTTAAGATTAGAGTAGGAGAATCCATTCCTGACTATTTACAGATAGTAATGGGAAAGCTGGATTAGAAGGTGTATCTATAATCATGTATAATTCATAGTAGCCCTCTGAGTATATTTATGGCTATAATGATTTCGGCAATCCCTTTAAGCCTCTTTTTTCATTGTAATTACACACGATAGTGGGATAAATTATGACATACTTGTACATGCACATAATATAATTTGGTTAATTTCACTCCCCAGTTTCTTCCCATCCCCTCCTCTTCTCTCCCCCCTCCCCCATCCCCTCTACTCGACTGGTCTCCTTTCTGACTTCATAACCTTTCCCCCTCCTTTTTCCTCTCTAGCTTTCACATATGAGAGAAAACAGAAAACCCTTGAATTTCTGAGTCTTATTTCACTTGACATAATGCTCTCAAGATCCATTCATTTCCCTGAAAATGACATTTCATTCTTCTTGATAGCTGAATAAAACTTCATTCAGATTACATTTTCTCTATCTATTCATCTGTTACTGGACAACTAGACTGGTTCCAGAACTTCTGTCCTTTAACTTCTGAGGGTGTGAGTGTAACGTGGGGTTTTGGTTTTCAATCCTAGCTGCAAAGGAGAAGTGAGAGAATTTTTAAATATAACTGTTGAAGAGTCCTTCACAGATCCATCAAATCTGTCCCCTGGAAGAAGCTCCCAATCATACATAATTTTTTGAGCCTCACCATTGGTCTTGTACATGTAGTTTGGTTTGAATGTTGTTTTACTCTTAGCTGTGTTAGCCTAGCTTCAAGTATGTGAATATTACACAAGTAGATGATAAACAATCCTATTAATGAACAAAAGTAAATAAATACTCAGGGATTCTAAGAATCATATAGGATTCTTAAGATCAGCATTTATAAAGACTGAACCTGAAATGACAAATTTTAAACAAATATGTGTTAAGATACTTTGAAAGCAGAAAATAGTATAATTTATTCCCCTTAATCAAAGAGCATGATACATTCATTTTTCACTTTGAAAGAGAGCACTGGAGCATTAGTTATTAAAACAACCAGAGAGCCTCAAGTAATGAAGAGAGGCTACCTGCAGGCAACTCAGGGGAGTAGTGGATGCCACTCAGAGGCCATAGCTTTTGCAGAAAAAGATACTTTCAACAGAAAGTATTGCTGATTTCACTTGATATTTATTATCAAATGAGATCCAATAAAAGATATAGAATGGTATATAAGTGACTAGCATTATTAAGAAATTTTCTATTTTTCTGATTCCTCCACATCTCCCCTTCACATACGCTACAGTGCTGAGTTATCTCAATAATGTGTGTGTTGTTCCAATAGTGTTATTATCGGGTGTCATACACGAGTCTTTTGGAAATGCCACTGGAACCTGCAGTGGCCTCACTGCTAGAGCATCTAGCTCTAGCTCACCTTGGAACTCAGCAGGGCACATCTAGGTCCTCTTGTCACTTTAGTCACGTATATTGTGAGTTTAGTTGGGATCCCAACTTCTCATATATGGAAGCAAATTTAAACATGTCTATAATTTAGAATAGATGATCATAGAGAGTTAAATCCTGGAGTCCCCCTTATAATGAAAACGTCTGAAATTTCTTCCAAGAGCAATTTATCAAAAACATCTATATAGATTAGGGTTGGCAGAAAAAAATATAGGGTGAACATATGGTTCAGTAGTAAATTATGTGCTTAGCATGCTGGATGCCCTAGTTTTGATTCCCAGTGTTAAAACAAAACTGGATATCAGTTAAATTTGAATTTCACCTAAGTAAGGAATAATTTTTCAACATAAATATGTTCCATGCAATATTTGGAACATGGTGGTTTGTTTATCTGGGGTTTGCTTTTAACTGGGTGGTCTGTATTTTTATTTGCTAATTCTGGGAAGCCCATGTGGACTTTTCTAAGTACCATTTTTTTTTCTAATAGTAACAACAGGAGGAAAAAATATAATCTCCACTATTGCTGGTGAAAACACTTCTGGAACATCAGGTAGGCAAAGAGCAATATCAGCATAAATTCAGACAGAGGAAATGTAGTTTCTTAATATTTTGTCCAAGACAAATTTCTGGGGAGTTTAGTCATTGTAATTTGTACAATGTCAAACTGTAGAATATCAGAAATACATCAAGAAATATTTGTTGTGTAGGTACTAGGTGCTCCAGAGAAGATAGGAGAGGAATAGACGAAGTCACTAAATCTCACAGAACTTTATTTCTGAGTAGGAGAAATTGATATTTATAATATACCAAAGACAGAAACCAGGCAAAGAAGAAGATACTCAAAGTCGAGGAATCATTGGATGACAAGTGTTGAAATAGCAATTGAGATCAGTTCTAATAAGGGAGCTGATTAGTTGGGGTTTAAACAATAGAATAATTTTATTTTGAAAAGTACCTATTATGCTTTGTGTAATATGAGCCAAAATGCCTTAACTTTGAATAAAACCTCACAACCCCCAGGAAAGCCGGGTAAAATTTTAGGATATAGTCAATTTCTGTGGAATAAGGGACTGACAAGATATTAGTTGTTGGGGATTAGAATTTTTTAAAAAAATCTCCAAACCCAGAAACTCTCTCCACAAAGAAGAGAATAAAAAACAGGCTTATTATTGGGTAAGCATAAAACAGGAAGTGCTATCACAGCCTGATAAGGGATAGAAAAAAACACTCTTGTAGAGCCAAGCTGATATAGCCCTTTACATTCATGTTTTCAGTGCAACTAATAATAGCTTTTAAGTAAGAGGACTTCGCAGCACAATTTTATGAACATACTATATTCACCTGTGGGAATGATGCAGTAGGGTAAAGGGTTCACAGCTGTATCTGTGGAGAAGTTTTCTTGATCCAAGCTCTTAAATATTATATCTCTGTTGTAATTATTTGATAAGCTCATTAAATATTCAAATACACAAAAATTCCCTCAAATACCATGAGTAACTAAATTGCATTGTATCAATTTGATCCTTAATTTGTACAGATACTCACAGAACTCAAAGAAATAGAAAAAAAATGTTGTTTTAAAAAAAAGCAGGAAAATGGTGGCTGAATAATTTAGAATGTACAGATACTGTCTTCCTACAAAACCCTAAAGATCAACATAGAGTCCCCACCTAGAGGGTTTAGAGTGGACAGAGGAAAGTAGGATTCCAAAGGCTAGGAAAGATAGAACTGTAGCTCAGAGTGGAGTTAAGATTCAGGCAAGGATCTTTCAGAAGAGAGGGAATTGTAGAGAGGTCATAAGGCTATAGAACATACAGCTAGGATTTGGCTCCAGAAGGAAAGGTCCCATC